GTTGGCAGCCTAGCAGCCTAGCAGCCCAGCAGCCTGAAGTTGGCAGCCTAGCAGCCTAGCAGCCTGGCAGCCTAGCAGCCTAGCAGCCTAGCAGCCTAAAGAAAACTAAGAATAGTACAAACATGAAATCGTCGGATATGAATCGGAAGCACATACTTAGACCATTGCACGTCTTATTTCAGTATCGCGATCTTTATTTTTTTAAATATTGAACTTTGTTTTTTTTTTTATTTTGACGCTTCGAAATTTGTGAAGTTAGCAGCCTAGCAGCCTGGCAGCCTAAAGAAAACTAAGGAAAATACAAACATGTAAACCGTCGGAAATGAGTCGGTAGCACATACTTAGACTATTCCACGTCTTTTTTCAGTATCGCGAACTTTATTTTTTTTAAATATTGAACTTTGTTTGTTTTTGTTTTTGTTTTTTTGACACTTCGAAATTTGTGAAGTTAGCAGCCTAGCAGCCTGGCAGCCTAGCAGCCTAGCAGCCTGGCAGCCTGGCAGCCTAGCAGCCTAGCAGCCTAAAGAAAACTAAGGACAATTCAAACATGTAAACCGTCGGAAATGAGTCGGTAGCACATACTTAGACTATTCCACGTCTTTTTTCAGTATCGCGAACTTTATTTTTTTTTAATATTGAACTTTGTTTTTTTTTACTCTTCGAAATTTGTGAAGTTAGCAGTCAAGCAGCCTGGCAGCCTAGCAGCCTAGCAGCCTAAAGAAAACTAAGGATAATACAAACGAAATGAGTCGGTAGCACATACTTAGACCATTCAACGTTTTATTTCAGTATCGCGATCTTTATTTTTTAAATATTGAATTTTATTTTATTTTTCATTCTGACGCTCCGAAATTTGCGGGATTAAACATGTTTTCGAATAACGTAGGAAGTAGTCTTAATCTTAACATTTTCGCAGCTAATATTGTCGCTGTCTATGGACAATAAGCGACGTCATGTGACTTATTTATGATATGCTATTTTGTATGTATATGTTTATAATGAAGTTGACGATGTTCAACGCATATTTATTTTAGGTCTGTAAAGATAAATCGGTTGAAATGTAAAGAGATATACAATGCATATGTTTAAACGAACACATTAATGAACATAAAGATCACTGAACTTAAGAACAATACCCATTTGATCAATAGCCGCGATACTGAAAAAAGACGTGGAATAGTCTAAGTATGTGCTACCGACTAACTTCCGACGGTTTTCATGTTTGTATTATCCTTTGTTTTCTTTAGGCTGCCAGGCTGCTAGGCTGCTAACTTCACAAATTTCGAAGTGTCAAAAAAAAAAAAAAAAAAAAAAAAAAGTTCAATATTTAAAAAAAATAAAGTTCGTGATACTGAAGAAAGACGTGGAATAGTCTAAGTACATGTGCTACCGACTCATTTCCGACGGTTTTCATGTTTGTATTATCCTTTGTTTTCTTTAGGCAGTTAGGCTGCTAGGCTGCGAGGCTGCTAAGCTGCTAGGCTGCTAACTTCACAAATTTCGAAGCGTCAAAATAAAAAAAAAACAAAGTTCAATATTTAAAAAAATAAAGATCGCGATACTGAAATAAGACGTGCAATGGTCTAAGTATGTGCTTCCGATTCATATCCGACGATTTCATGTTTGTACTATTCGTAGTTTTCTTTAGGCTGCTAGGCTGCCAGGCTGCTAGGCTGCTAGGCTGCTAGGCTGCCAGGCTGCTAGGCTGCCAACTTCAGGCTGCTGGGCTGCTAGGCTGCTAGGCTGCCAACTTCACGAACATATTTTTGTTGTTGTTTATTTACTGGGCCCTGTATGTATTGCGCATAGACAAAACCGGGCTATAACAAGAGCGCGTGACTATGTTAACACATGGTTTTGGCCCCGTTATAACATGGGCAAAAGAGAGAAAATAGCCGATTTTATGCTATAATATATAAAAGAGAAGAATTAAGCGATTATAAATATACTCTAAGTTTCCTTTTTTGATATAGGTTCATAACTATTTTTATTTCAAGATACAAGATAAATTAATAACAAAATAGAATAATGATGATAATAATAATAATAATAATAATAATAATGATGATGAAGGTGATGATGATGATGATAATAATAATAATAATAATAATAATAATAATAATAATAATAATAATAATAATAATAATAATAATCCTCTTCCTCCCCATTCCCCGGTTTAAAAAGAAAGAAAAAGTAACAGAAAAAATTAAACGCTTATGCGTTATATATAATAGATAAATATATGATATGTACAGGTATATAAAGCTTTATAAAAGACAAAAGCCCGGTTTGAACCGGGTGATGCTCCCCTACACAGAAAAACACATATTTTAGTTTCAGAGCTTTGTCCCTGGACGTAGTTTAAAGTGCAATGACTATTAGGCAAGGCAGAGTAAATGTTCTTTGCACTAAACTTTTAACTAATGAGATATATCTTCTAACTTAGTTTCTTGTTGATACCTCTTGTAATTTCACCGTATTGCCCCATGTTCAAAGTCAAGTTCAAAGGAGCAAAGCGCAATAACTCGAAATATAAGGGAAGGAAGAGTTATGATTCTTTGCACTGCTCATCTACACAATGAGATCTTAAATTTACCTACAAAGTTTCTTGTTCAGATTGCTTATATTATTAGAGTTATGTCTTGTACACAGTTCAATGTGTAAAATCGAACAAAGGAATTTACTCAAAAAAAAAAAAAAAAAAAAAAAGAATAGGCAAGCCAGAGCTACGGTTAGTGTGCCCTGCACATCTACCCAATAAGATATAGTTAATTGTTCATATCACTTATACTTTTTAGAGCTATGTCCTGGACAATGCTCAAGTTGTTAAAAATGAAAAAAGCGCCATAACTCCAAAATCAAAGAATGCAGAGTTACGGTTCTTTTGCACTGATCTTCATTTGAATGAGATTTATTTACCTACAAAAATTCTTGGTTTTAAGTCTAATTGTTTCTATGTGAAAAGAAAGAACATAGGACAATAACTCCAAAATTAGGGAAGGCAGACTTATGATTCTTTTGCATTGCACTTCTATCTTAAAATATCTATCGACACACGAAGTTAAATGTTGATGTCTTTTATAATTTAAGAGTTATGTCACGGACAAAGTTCAAAAAGTAAAAATTAACAAAAGACAAAAACTCCAAAATTAAGCAAAGAAGAGTTGCGGTTATCGTCCAGTGCACATCTATCCATTGAGATCTATCAACCAACATACATGTAGTTTCATATTGATATATCTTATACTTTTAGAGTTATGTCAAGGACAATATTTTTCTAAAAGGGGAGATAATTCAAAAACCGGACGACAACAGAGTAACAGTTCTTTTGCCCAATGAGATAAAGTGCCATGTTGATATCTCTTATAGTTTAAGAGTAATGACCCGGACAAGGTTTAAAGTGTCAAAATGAACTAAGTGAAATACACAACATTTAAAAATGGCGGCTGCTTATATTGCTCAAGGACTGATGTTATATAAATTCGCCGTAAGTAACGGAAATAAGTTTGGAGGCTGTGACTTTTTCTTCTTCTAGAATTGTTTGATTTTATCTTTTTTTTTTAAAGGAATCATTCGTGTTTTTGGAATAAATAAAATATACCATCATCCTTATAACGTAATATATCACGGAAATACACCACGTCTAGCCGCTTACCTCTCGTTACGTGCAACTCGTTAATAATAGTAACGTAACGGGTAATACACATAAACCGCTTTAAGGTGTTAAATAAACGTTAATCAATTTTATGAAAGTGTCCGTTAAACGTAATAGTTTATTATAAAAACATGTGTATATCGTATAATACAAAACAGATATTAACAGAATTAAGCTAGCACCGGCCTGTTGCGTCTATAAGTCACCTCATGCGACATGAAGTAATAATTAACGATGAAATGAAAAAATAGCATTTACAGTATACAGTTTTATATAATTATATATCTGTATATTCTAATGAAATCAGTACAGAATGGGTCAATTACGAAAGACCGGTTAGGACATTTCAACTTCACGAATGGCCAATTTCATCTTTGTGAATTCATGAAGTTCTTGAATTCACAATTATAACTTTGTGTTTCACGTTTTCAATATACGGAATTCACGACTCTACGACTTTATCTTCAAAAAATCACTATTTCAACTGCACGAATTTAATTTTCAACTTTATGAATTAGTTGAAATCGATAATTTTACGAAGTTGAAATCGTGAAGTTGAAATCGTTAAATCATGAATATTGAATTGGCAATTAAAGTAGTTGAAATGTCCCTACCGGTCTTTTGTTGTCAGCCCTTGATATAATTTGTTTGGTCTTTCTGTACAAACGAAGAAGATAGAATTTTATATATTAACAATAACAACACATGTGTACGCATATTTATGATAAACGGGAACTTCAAGTATGGCTTTTGTGAGTTTATCGTATTATTTTGTGATAAACTTACATAAAGTTTGCTTTATTAAATACTCAATACATTCAACCATATTTGTCAAAGGAATCAATGTAGAAATGACTTTTCTTCCTAATTCAATCCTCATTTCCTTATCTAACAAAAACCATCAAAATAACAGCAACAAAAAAGTACAATTTCACAATAACTAAGGCAAATTCGTTCGTTCGTACGTTCGTGACATTAAATGAACTGTCGACTGAAAATTGGGCAGGCAAAAAACACTGCGATCACATTTGAAAAAAGTATCAAAGCCTGTTAACGCAATTTGTTTGCATGTTGTTATAATAGAACTTGTCGATAACTGTTGAAACTGTCTGATAAAAAGTGCAAATGTTCTTATCGGAAACAAGTTGACGAGCATATCAACCTTGTTTACCAATGGTCTTTGATTTACGATAAACGGGTATATAAATATACCTACTCATTCTTTTTCTACATTTTCTTCTCAGTAAGTTTTAAGCTTTCTTCTGAACAGCATTGTGCAAATTATAAATGTTAAACTTACATGAATATTATTGTGACAGAGTAAGGGAAAATATAGCACTAAAGAATGACTTTTCACGTGATGCACGTGCTAATGTGTTTATGTATTATAACGTGGATTACCATTGGTAATGTTTCATCAACGGAGAATCATACATCACAAGCCACACATACAACAAACTTTTCGTTAAAATCAGTTGCAATGTCGACCGCAAAGCCAGATACAACAACAATCACTGAACAACCGAACGGTAAATATTGTTTCTCCATTCTGCTAAAAAATCACATTATATTTTATACATTATAAGATTTCTTGTGCACATTTTCTATCTGCGTTTTAAATTGGTCCGAGACGGAGAGAGAATATCGTGTCTGTGCCTATAGACTTTTTGCTGTGCACAATCGACAGGTTGAGATATTTGTCCGCACAAGCGCAGTCTGTGTAGCGCAAGACGGACAATGCTTTGCACAAAATTGCAGTACACGTCCATTGAAATTCTATCTAAGTTGACAATACGATACGATAAGTTTTATATCATATTATAAGTAACATATCTTTAACAAAAGAGCAAAAGATATTTTAAGAACTCCCTTAGCAAAAAAAAGAGATCTACTTTATCCTTCTTGAAATATTCATATAAAATGACTTAACTGTATCAGATATAACATGAAATCTCGCTCATTGAATAAGTATACCATTTATCACAAATATAAAGAGGAAACACTTGCCACTCAGTAAATTATTATTCTTAAAATGTAAAAATATGATAATGCAAATACATGAGCATTTATTTTAATTTCAAATCCTATTTCTGATTTGACTGTCATGTCTAACAGTAAATTTATTAGTCACATAAATATGTAACAATAATTATAAAAATGCTTGAGTAGATAAGTTCATTTAACGGTTGTACAAATGTAAAATAGCTCACTTGTGACTAGTTTATCTTAACAAATTTCAAATTCTAGATTAATTTTGCTACAGTTTTATAACGTAACATACTGTGTACATGTATATAATACCAAAGACTGATAAAAATTGTATATGAAGATTTTTTTATATTTCGATTGTTATTAACTGCGATATGATACAAAACCGCATAGATTCAATGATATTGTTAGGAAGTAGCTGTAAAAGCAACTTGGAATGTGTCCAACTGTTTGACATTTACAAGCTTGACAATCTACATAATCAAAAGAAGTGTACAGTACCAATTATGTAATATTACGTAGTTCAAGGCTAATCAAATTCTATTGCTAACACCCTCTTGTTCCTATCTTAATTCCTGATAAAAGAGTCTTATACTGATACTTTCAACATATGTATTCGTAACTGAATCATTTTAATGTAGATTCGAATAAAGTCCCTTATATTATTTTCTTTATACATATGAAATACCATGAACGCATAAATGCAGAAAACTTGATGTATGTAATTACCTTTGCACCAGTAATTTATCAAAATTTTAGCTTCTGCTCTGTTCAAAATGTTCATCAAATACTGATTAAAACTATTTTTCAGTATTGCTATATCCCTACACAGAATGTGCATGTGCAAAAATTTACTTCTGTTTCTAAAGAAAGATCGTAATGTTAGGATCTTTACGATATAGACAATGCCACACATATTCTTCACTTTTCATAGATAATCCAAGACAACATAATTAACAATCAGGTGCAAAACACATAACATGTTCAATTACCATTACCGAAAAATTCCTTTATGTCTGCTTTGATATGCTTTTCTTACGCTATAAATCAGGTATTTTATTTGAACCTTAAAAAATAAATCGTTTTAGCGAATAACACCTACGTTTCAAATTTACTTTACCAATTTTGATCACAATATAATAAATAAATGTGACGCCGACGAGCCAATCTGCAACTTTTGGTTCTGATTGTCACTATATTTCTGCTATCAGGTTTTAGAGATTAATGCCTCATCGTCTGAACTTAGCGGTAGACGACAGCGTTTGCTGCTAAAATTCACCAAACACTTAATTTAATGTGGCTCGCTACTTTCCGACCGAAATTTGTCAACATAAAATATCTGTATGACGTTTGGTATGCAAACAAGTAGATATGTAAGCTTTACTTCTGCAGCATTATTTTGTAAATAAAGAGCGTTAATATGACGTCAAAACGCCCCCTAATGGCGCTTGTGGAACTGCTTTTTTATTAGTAAAATAGAGAGAAATAAAGAATCCTTTAAGAAAGCCCAACAAGACAAAACTGAAAATGTTGAAGGCTCGGTTTGATTGAGCCTGTTCGCGGACTGCAATGGAAAGTGCACTTTACTGTCCACGCCCCCCTAGCACTGGCTTAAGCAGAATTCAGCATTTAATCATGGTATTGGTGTAATGTTAAATTTAGAAACATCCGCAGATGTGTTCATACGGCGGTTATCATGGAACCTTCAATGAGACAGTTTCGTGCCATTCCATGAAAAACGGCGTATGGTCCCCAAGTAAAAGAATGCGTGTGCCCTAAACGAGAAAACTATGAGCAGAACTAAATAAAATGGATTTTTTAAAGGAGATCAGAGGTTATGAAGCCTGTATGTCACAGATATGACGTCAAAAGACAAATTTAAAAAGCAGAAGGTGAATCAACAATATTCCAGTAGGAATATTGGAACCAACCAACAAGAAAAAATGCAAAAAAGTAAAAACTAAAAGTACCACAAACTCAACAATGATGCCGTTTTGAACGATCTTTAAGGATCGGAAATATAACATCCCTGATTGAACGTACGGGGCGACTTTTTACAGCCTCCACACAGCACAAACAACGCTGACAACAAAAACGGTGTGTTTTTATCAATTCTTTTTCGATTTCCTCTGTTTTAATTGTGCAATGTTCAGTAGACGTATACTTTTACATTGATGTCTTCGTTAATTTTAACTTTGCGATTCTACGGTTAATATTCCTTCGTTTTGACCTACAAATCTGTTGAAAATATTGCGCCTCATCGCAATAACATTTGGGAAATAAAATAAATTCAACACGGTGAATTTTGCTATAATTTAGCATGTAGTGAATTCGTGAAAGAAAAATATTTATGCAATGAAAATATAGGGTAAACGCGTAAGATATTTTGCTTCTACTTGTTAAATATTAAAAAAGGGTGAGTAAAATGTTAGTTACATGTAACTGTAATGATTTTTGTGACGTTTATAGACGTTGGAGTTCAAAGTATGTACTGACTAATAATTTTCTTATGTCATGCAGGGGCTTGATAAAAAATGATTTTTTTCATGGAAATGCATGCGCTAAATGAGTACATTTACACAGTTTTATTACACAATGCATTTTAATAACTTTTCTAATTTGCTGGACGAAGTCTCAGATAGCTTTCATTTTTTTTCATAATTTGGTTATTGAAATCATAGGGTGAAAAGTGTTTTATTATTATTTTAAGTTACTTGTTTCAGCGCAAAAACAAATCGCATATTGCTGTATGACAGAAGTAAGAGCATTTATTCCCCTAGCTGATTCCCTTTAAAATGTATATGATATAACATTTAGCTTTAAATTAATTTAAACAAGGTAGTCTTAAGGGCAGCTAAGTCCCCTTCCGCAGTGAACATGAATGTGTACTTCTAGACCTTTTGCCAACCATGACCTTGATGTTGTGCCATGCATATCATAAGCCAATAGTTTCACGATGGTGATTATTTGTGCCAAGCTATTTAAAATATTCCACAAAGTAAAAAAGTTATAGATAATATACAACCTTGACCTTCGGGGTAACAACCTTGATGTTGAGCTTTGCAGATTGTGTCATGGTGGGGATCATTTGTGCCAAGAATTTTTAAACCTTTGAATTGTCAACAAGATATAGAGCGGACATGAAAAAACAGATATTTTTTACCTTGAACCTTTGTGTGTGACACTGACCTTAAGGGTTGTGACTTCGTTATTGTGCTCTGCAAATGGTTTCATAATGGTGATCATTTCTGCCAAGTTATCTTAAAACATTGCAGCGGTTTAAATGTTATGAACAGATGCGAAATGTAGACTTTCTATCATTTGACCTGTAAGTGTGACCCTTGACCTTGAGATAGCAATTTAATTATTACGCTCTGTATATTGTCTGATAAGGGTGTTTCCTGGTGCCAAGAAAACTTTTCAGTTGTTTAAAAGTTATGGAGCAGGCACGAAATGTAGACTTTTAACACTTGACTTTTAAGTTTGACTTGACCTTGAGGGTAGCAACCCAATTATTGCACTCTGCAAATTGACTCATAGTGGTGATCACTTTTGCCAAGCTATTTAAAACAACTCAGCGGTTTAAAAGTTATTTAGAATTTTTAACATTTGACTTTAAAGTGTGACCTTGACCTCTTAAATAGCAACCCAATTATTGCACTCTGCACTCTCATAATCATGATCTTTTTTTTTTCAATTTATTACAAAAAGTCCAGCGATTAAAAAGTTATGGATCACACATGAAATGCAGATTTTTATAATGAAATGAAGACTTTTAACATATGACCTTAAAGTGTGACCTTGACTTTGGTGGCAACAGCCCAATTATTAAGCTATGCACATCGCTTAATTATGGTGATCACTTGTGCCAAGTTATTTCAAACGTTATTTAGTGGTTTAAAAGTTATGGAACGGACACGAAATGTAGACCTTTTGATATGAAATAAAGACATTTTAACATTTGACTTTTAAGTATGACCTTGACGGGGGTAGCAACCCAATTATTTGCGCTCTGCACATCGTCTCATTATAGTGATCACTTGTGCCAAGTTATTTAAATATTTACTTAGGGGTTTAAAAGTTATGGAATGGACATGAAATGTTGACTTTTCATTAAAAAAATGAAGACTTTACAACGTTTGACCTTTAAGTGTGACCTTGACCTTGGGGATAGCAACCTTATTACTGCGCTCTGTACATCGTCTCATTATGGTGATCACTTGTTTTTAGTTATTCTTAAAAATAATTAGCTGTTTAAAAGTTATGGAGCGAATACGAAATGTAGACCTTTCATTATGAAATGAAGAATTTTAACATTTGACCTTTAAGTGTGACCTTGACCTTGGGGTAGCAACCCAATTTTGCGCTTTGCACATCGTCTTATTATGGTGATCACTTGTGCCAAGTTATTAAGAAATTTATCAAGTGGTTTCAAAGCTATGGAATGGACATGAAATATAATATATAATTATAATATAATTACTATGAATAATTTTTAACATTTGACCTTTAAGTGTGACATGACCTTGGGGTAGCAACCAAATTTTTGCGCTCTGCATATTGTCTTATTATGGTGATCACTTGTGCCTAGTTATTAAGAAATTTATTATGTGGTTTAAAAGTTATGGAACGGACATGAAATATAATATATAATTATATAATATAATTAAAATGTCATGATAATAGTTGATAAATTAAGAAATGAACACTTACTATTCTGGAAGCAAAAATCATACTTATATATTTTTTTCGCATATTAGCAACTGAAGACTCGAAGATTTCAACTACGTGCAACAACAAAAATATTTGTTTCTAAATTTATAATTGTCTTTTGATTTCTTGTCTGTGATATGCAGGCTTCATAACCTCAGATCCCCTTTCAAATTTCCATTTTATTTAGTTCCGCCCATTATTTTCTCGTTTAGGGCACAAGCATTTTTTTATTTGAGGACCGCATGCCGCTTTTCATGGAATGGCATTTCTGGGTCACATTGATGGTTCCATGATAACCGCCGTATGAACACATCTGCGGATGTTTCTATTTTCAAAATTTCACCATTTTCGTGTTTAAATGTTGAATTCTGCTCAAGCTGGGGTATTGCTAGGGGGGCATGGACGGTAGCTTGCACTTTTCAGTATCGTCCATAGTCTCAATCAAACAGAACCTCAACATTTTCAACTTTGCTGTGTTGGACTTTCTTTGGGGGTTCTGTTTACTCTATTTTCGTATTCAAATGTAAAATAAGGAACAGCAGAATAAATATTTATATAAAAATATTTATGGTTGACCTAGAGCCACACTAAAAACACTGAAAATGGACCAAAAGATACAGCAACTGCACTAACTTGTTATATAAATCTGCGTTAGGATTGCAAAAAATAATATATAAAAAAATACAATATTTTGTATATTCATCCGTAACTGAAAAGAAATAGTAACGGATGGAATACTATTGATTCCATAAAAAATAATTTATTAAATTACCTTAATTAATTTAGGTATATTATGGTAGAGAAATCTGACAAGTGATGGCAATTCTAATGTCTTTATTGTTTTATTTGTTAGCAACTCAGTCTACGATAAGCACTTCTAATACTACACCAACAACGACACCTACAATATCATCAACAACAACAACAACAAAACAAACAACAGAACCAAATACAACACCAGCAACAATATCAACAACAACAATACCAACAACAACACTAGCAACATCAAAAACAACAAAACCAACAACAACAGCAATACCAACAACACCAACAACAAAAACAACATCAACAACAAAACCAACAACAGCAATACCAACATCAAAAACAACAAAAACAACATCAACAACAAAACCAACAACAACAACAATACCAACAACACCAACAACAAAAACAACATCAACAACAAAACCAACAACAACAGCAATACCAACACAACCAACAACAAAAACAACAACAACAACAGCAATACCAACAACACCAACAACAAAAACAACATCAACAACAAAACCAACAACAACAACAACAATACCAACAACACCAACAACAAAAACAACATCAACAACAAAACCAACAACAACAGCAATACCAACAACAACAACAACAAAAACAACATCAACAAAAAAACCAACAACATCAACAATACCAACAACAAAATCAACATCAACAACAAAACCAACAACAACAGCAATACCAACAAAACCAACAACAACACCAACACCAACAACAAGACAAACAACAACACCACCACCACCAACAACAACAACAAAATCAACAACAACAAAACCAACAACAGCAATACCAACAACAAAACAAACAACAATTAAACCCACAACAACACCAAATACAACTAAAACAACAAAAATACCAACAACATCACCAACAACAACTCTAACAAAAGCACCAACAACAAAACCAACAACCACAATACAAACACCAACAACAACAAAAACAAAAACAACAATAAAACAAACAACAACAATACCAACAACAAAAACAACACCAACAACAAAACAAACAACAATTATATCAACAACTACACCAAATACAACACAAACAACAACAATACCAACAACAACACCACCACCACCAATAACATCAACACAAAAAACAACACCACCACCATCACCAACAACAACATCAAAAGCAACAACAACTTCAACAACTACAACACCACTAACTACACCAGCAACTACAACAAGACCAACAGCAATGGAAGCTACCACACCAGCAGGTATGTTTATCTCTTGAAGACTTTTATTGGTGTTTCACGATTAAATTATCGATTACGTTAACCCTTACTGTTAAGTAAGTTAAGTTAATTTAAGTTTTAACATAACCTCAAATATTTTTAGTTGTGTTTTTGTTACTGCGTGATATTATATTGATAAACTGATAAATTGACAAACATTGACTCTCTTTGGGCATTTCTGTAAGGCTATATATTAGGGCTTAAAAAAAGGGAAATTGTGGTTAGGAGTTTTGATGACTATATTCCTTCCCCTTCTCTATAGAATAAAGTGAATCACCAAAAGAACTTTCTTTAAGTGTAATACATATAAACTGAAATATATAATATTTCATTTTTATTCCTCCGTTTGTAAAACGGGTCGTATTTATACTAAACCCCTTGTCTGCGGACGGGCGATGTCAAATTTCGTCCCGGAGCATATCTCCTTAACACACGGAGGCATTTTATAAAAAAAACTACATAGAAATGTTCACCAGTATAAAACGCCGTGTCGCTGGCATGAACCAGGTCTATAGGTTAAAGGTCCAGGTCGCACTTAGAGGTATTTGAAAAACGCTTGTTCGAAACAAAACTTTTACATGCATGGCGGGATTTCAATATAACTTGTCACAAATGTTCACCATTGTGAGGAAAAGTGTCGCGCATAATTTTAAATTTTTAGGTCCATGTAGCCATGGTCAAGGTCACACATAAAGGTAAAAGTTCAGGTAAAATATGAAGGTTTGTAGGACCATGAAGGACCATTTAGTCATCATTTATTGAGGGATTGTAACAAGAGTGGCCATTATCATTACTACGGCTGTGACACTTGTCATTTAGGCCAATATATGCGATATCAAATTCACAATAGATGTTGAAATATACAGATTTTGTCTGGAGCATATCTCCTTCACGCATTAAGGGATTTAACAAAACTTCAAAGAAATGTTTAACGCAGTGCGAATCAGTGTATCCCGTATAAAGCATGTCTGTAGGCCAAATAGCAAGGTCTCACTAAAATGTCATGATAAAACGGTTGTCTGGTGCATGCTGCATGCATAAAGGGATATAACTTGGTGCACATGTTCTTTATTGTGAGGCGGATTGTCATGCATAAAATTAAAATCAACGGACCATTTAGTTATCAATAATGAAGGATTGCAACATAATTGTCTATTATCATGACTACATCTGTTACACTTGTAATTTAGGTCAATATATGCAAGGTCAATGTCACTTAAGATAATGAAATATCCGAATTTTGTCTTTTGTCTGGAACCTTTCGCCTTTACGCATGCAAGGATTATTAAGAAACTCCATTGAAATGTTCAACACTATGAGCAGCTGCAACGGGCGCATGAATCAGGGCTCTATGTCGAAGGTCAAGAACACTTAGAGGTCATTGAAAAAGGCTTGTCCAGAGCACAAATTCTACATCCATAGAGGAATTCAATTTAACTCGGCACATATGTTCAACATTGTAAGGGACAGTGTGGTGTGCAAAACTCAGGCCCCTGTGGTCAAGGTCAAACAGAGGGGTCAAAGTTCAGATAGAAATATGAAAGTGTGTAAAGGGATCATTTAGTCATCATTTATTGAGGGATTGTAATACAAATGGTAAAAATCATGGCTACATATGTGACACATTTTTTTGTGAAACCTATCTCCTACACGCTTGAAGGGATTTTAATGAAACTTCATAGACTTGTTCACTTCTATTAGAAGCTATGGCGCGCCTTTAGCTCAGTGTCACACTTAGAGGTCATGGAAAATGCTTGCTTGTCTTGAGCAAACTTTTTACATGCATAGAGGGATTTTAATTTAGCTTGTTACAAATGTTCACCATTGTAATGCATAGTGTCAGGCGCAAAGTTCAGGTCCCTGGGGCCAAGGTGAAGGTCACATATAGGGGTCCAAGTTTAGATAAAAAATGAAGACGTGTATAAGGACCATTCAGTTATTAAATATTGAGAGATTGTAACACAAAATTGTCGTTATCATGAATACCACCATGTAGCACTTGTATTTTATGTCAATTTATGTAAGGTAAAGGTCACAAAATATGATGACATATCTATATTATTATGTCTGGAGAATATTTTCTACATAATTTATAGAAATGTTCACCACCATTAAATGTATTGCTTCATACATGAGCTTGTTAAAAGGTCAAGTTCGCACTTGCTATTTGCTAATTTCTATGCATATCTATAATGACCACATGTCCATCAAAAGCTTTTATGACGGGCTAGTTTTGTGACAATGTTGCCCTTGCTGCTTATAAGTCTCCTAATTGATAAATGGATAAAGGCATCATTATGAGTCATAAATGTATACAAACAAGAATAACGCAAGCGAACCTCAACTCGTATCACCTCGGCCAATGTCAATTTTTCAGTACATATCTTATCATATTCACGACCTTAAAGTTCATATTTGTTTTATGGTATGATTTATAAACGGCTTATATCTAGTTTTTACGTATCATTACAGATCTAATGACTAAACTGGCGTGGAATAACTGTACATAACATTTCTAACTAATATTGTCTTGCCCTTTACATAGAAAAATAAATTACAAATATGAAACATGAAAATTACCATTTTCTTCTGAGTATTTCTTCGGTATATAAGAAAAGTTTTCTGACGAAATCCGTAACTTCTTCTAGGAACTTCGTAACAGTTATCATTAGAATTCTTTCGTGTAACAGTTTCTTCCCCGTGTTATCGGGGACATGCCGAAAAATGATGGAATTTTGGTTTTCAGATAAATTTGGGTATCTACATTGTAGTCCTGACTTAGCTATCATGTCAGAATTCAAATTAAAATGCAACAACAGGAAATAAAGGAAACTTTTTATTATTTGGAATTTCTGTCAAAGTTATTTAGATAACATTTCCGTTTTTTGTTACTTTTTGTTCGTTTTGTTCTTACTTTTAGTACTTGGGAAGCCATGTACCGGCCAAAATAGTAGCGTTTGCAACGAGATCGGGAATGCCTCGTGCCGAAACAACACATGTAAATGTACAGCTGGGTTCCGTCAAAATGCTTCCAAATTGTGCGAAGAAGGTCAGTAAAGTAACGCTATTATAAAAAGCATGAAAACACACTTTAAATAAAAATTCAGGCCAACTCCTCCATTGTAATGCAAAACGATTGCTGCTTTCTAGTATTTTGTACATGTATATTTTAACTAAACATTATTATAATACAAAAACAAATAATAAACAAAGCAAAACCTCTCTGTATCAGGCAAGATCATCAATTTGAGATATTATGCCATTGAGATACTTTAAATTTATATTACATTATATTACTATGAGTCATTGAATTCAATTAGACAACCAAGTGACACATTAACTCTGATATATTTGGCAATATTAATTGTGATATATACATGTATGATTATGTTGATAATATTGAATTATTGCAAATTAAATGTTGTGAACAATATTGTTATTTGTCATAAAATACCTATAGTATAGTTATTTGCTCGTGCTAGGGATGAATGCTGACAGTTACCACTTTTGACAAAGTGTGTTTAAATCTGATTAAATTTAATTGACAAATATAGGGGACATAAGTATCCAAAATATTGAAATCTATTTGAGAGAAAAAATAACGTCAACACTTATCTGGACAATGACTAGCAACTTTCCGTTTTGGTTTTGGAAACGTGTTGATCTCTTAATGTTGCCAATGCCTCAATAAATATGTATAATATAATTAACAAAGTTTTGTTGTTGTTTTTTTATTTACAATAAGCCTTACATTGTAAGTAATTTGAAACTATAACTTAATACTCAAATTTTATGTTAGGTTAAGCATTTAAATGTAGAAAAAGTTATTTTTTAGTAGAAATCTGTATTTATTTTAAAGATTCATGAATAAATAAATAACGATTTATTTATGTTTTCCTCTTGTTATCAGCAACAGTATTATTGAATTGATCAGTTGTTAAATATTTATATATATATATATTATATGTTTCATTCACCAAGTTATATTGTTTAAGGAATTGTTCACAATATAATTTTTCCGTAGTACATTCAAACCATTGCACGACCGAGAACAATTGCGGAACTTTATCAAATTCTGTGTGTACCAAAGAGAAGCAATGTTTATGTAAATATGGATATTACTATAAAACAGTTATCAATTCGTGTGAGAAAGGTATGTAGCAGAAAATAAAACTAAACAATTTTTTTGTTAATCCATGTTATTTATATATAGTTTGTGAAGATTATAAAAATAACATTTGTACGAAGAGGATATAAATATACACCAAACACAAATCATGTACACCAAACTTGAAAAATACAAGGAAAGAAATGTGTTCGTCACGCTGGAAAGCATTCGAATTTTAACTTAAACGTAATTGTGTTGTGTCTACCTTGCATATACTGCACATCATCTTAGTTAGATGATATATAATGTCTTAATTAACACGCACAGATCTGTCACATTTTCAAATTATGTTTTAGAATGGTATGAGCTGCTCCTTATGAGATATCAACTATAGCACCTAGTGGTGTATCTTGCGCCGGTATTAACTGTATATGTCTTTCATCTTAGCAACCGATTTTACAAACGTTACTGTTTCATGTCGATGAACATGGAGTGTATCTTTAATTTATTATCATAACGGATAACTGATGAAAAACAACATTGCATTTTGTCCATATACAGAACAGATTTCATAAAAACATGTCTTTACTCCATATGCCAAGGAAACAACTTTTCTTAATACAAGAGCGTATTTCATTGGCATAGACTGATCTTTTACCAACCATCGAGTAGACTCTATAAAGCGAGCCTTTAATCCAGATAAAGTGAACGGATTTAAATTAATGTGGTATCAATATTGAAAAATATAATGTTTAGATGCATTTATATTTGAACACTCCTCATATATTCTACGGTTAATTAGATGAAACGAAAATGTTAGAAAGTACTTCAGCATTGACAAATTTGCGTATAATATACATTGTAATAAAGTTATCTTTAATCTATAAAACTCAAAGCTTTGCTCAAAGCGTTTTTTTATTATTATTTTCGAACATCAGAAAGGTAAGAAAAATATTAGAACTTTATTGAATGTATTACAGGGTGCAAATTGCCTAACGCCAACAATATTCGGTTTACCACAGTGACACAAGACAACAAACTGTATCACGAAGGACAAACAATTTCATACCAATGTGAAAATGGATACGAATTCACAAAAGGTGATAATTCCAATAAAACATTAAAGTGCGACTCTGATGGCCAATTTGGGTATTTAGAACCATGCACAAAAATAGGTATGTAAACTTAAATTTACAACATATATTTAAATACATAATACAAGTAATATGTAGCGGTTTAGAAGTCTGTTTAAACCACGCCTTTAGTATTGATTTGATAATGAAGTTAAGGTTAATTCTTATGGTCCATGATCAGTTATCATTTAGACGATATGCATCCGCGCAGTCTGATCAGGATCCATGCTGTTCACTTACCAACTTTATTACAAGTAGATATATGTTTGTGTTATGTTCCACACATATGGATATTAATAAATAAATTGAAAATGATTTAAAGCCTGAAACAGTTGTTAAAAAGTTTATTTTTCATAATTGGTCTATATGCATTGTCCCATAAAATTCAATTATTAAGTTTCCCTTTGTTTTCAATTGAAGCTGTGGTTACATGTAAAGACACTTTAGAATAAATGACATGAATGTAGGAAAGCATGATTACTATTGTAGACATTGTAATATTTTTGTTGTTGAATATTTGTTGAATATTTGTAATTTTACTGTAACATATGCAAATCAGATGAAAAACGCTGCAAATAGTAAAATCCCTGCAACGTTATAGTTTCGAAGTAGATTGTATAAAAGAAAATCTACGAAGGTCAAGCAGTCTATATCATAACATTTGAAATTCTAACAATGATCAAGTTAGGCATTTTTAGGGTTTCGGCCCAGTGAATTTTCGTACTCTTTGGTCTATAGTAAATCGGTCACATTTGAGGCTTAATTCTAGATTCCACTGTTATAGATGGATTATATACTGTATTTTACACTATCTAAGTCAAACAAGGCCGGAGATAGTATATGTTAGCCACCTACTGTTTAAGAAATCTTCATTCTATTATAACTCTGTTAAAATTCACCACTTCAAAAACTCCTGAATTGATGGTGGGTAGTACTTTAATCTTTATTCCTTCCGCCAACAAATGAGTTCCTGGAGAATACACAAAACAACTTTTAAAGTCATAAATAACACACAAAAACTACTCAGATGCAATTAATACACTTTAATTATGACCAATCAAACTAGAGATGACTTAAGTTGGGCCACTTCAAAATTTAAAACATTTCTTTTTTAACTACAACGGGTTAAGTCTCAATCCGCACCGGGAATGAGACCAAAATGAATCCAAAATTTAAGTTAGGCCAACCATTTCGTAGTAATTTAGTGTTATACAAGTACATTTTTTTTGACAAGTGTCTAACAAAATACATTAATGCAGTACCAGTTATTCTTTCATCAGACTCAGCCAATAGAATTTTACGTAAAAACTTATATTACAAATATTGTCATATCTTTTGATTCTGCACGACCATTTCATACAATTCAACCTTTTCAGTAATCGTTTTCTATAGTTTATGTATATACATGTATCTTACATTATTAAATGCAGACAGAGGGTACAGTTTTCTGAATATAGTTTACAGTTACAAAACTTATGTGTTTGTTCAGTTCTTGTCATTTAAAACGTATTTCAAACATGATAGTCCTTATGTTTATATGCGAAATAATAATGTGAGTAATTGTTTATTTTGAGATGTTTATCAATATTAAGCAAAACATCGGAGGAAAATTAGAAAAATATGTCTAAACTGTGAAAGCTATAAAGATATATCTGACAAAAACAGTGGTCACCCTTTGTCAGCAGAAACAACGAAGAAAAAAAACATGTACAACAACCTCGCTTAATTAAGATCAATGCCAAAGTTGCAAAATTTGCTGTATGCGGAAAATAACGTGATATACGGTATATACATAATATCTTCACGTATATATTATCTTAATCACGACATCTAAAAAGTGGTCTTCTTGTATAAACTAGCAATCGTACTTTTTGCAAGTAATATAATGTTTATATTTGAAAAAGCTTTTGACTGAAAATTTTGAGATGAAGAATTCACTGTATTATTATTACCAAAATGGAACAAATTAATCCTGAAAAGTTAGTTTAACAACAAAGTATGCATTTACGTTCAGATTTGCTTGTATTCTCAACAACTAAATTAGTTTTCATTGGAATGCCTATATTTTTAATAATAAATCCAACAATTTCGTATATATTTTATTGTTACTGCTAATTTCAAACTACATGTATACAATTCATGTAATTATTAGGGTTTTCATAAAAATCTAATCTTCGTTGTCGCCCTTTCTAAGAAACGGACTGTTGTCAATGTAAACAAATACACATGTAGCTGTCATTCAGATTAATTCTCCGAATACCTTTAAAAACATGACAAAACAAAATAAATATGAGACAATGTTGTTTTATTGTTGTTTATATCGAAAAATACTCTAGTACTTTTATAAAATATAGTGCCTTCATGAACGGTTTCCGAGATTTATGAAAGTTTGCCATCGGCATCGATCCGATCTTTTTTTCTACCGTCTAACTAAAATGATTTTTGGAAGTTTTAAGGGTCATGTTTTGTCTTGGGTAGAGTTATTGTATTTTTTCTTGAGTTTATAAATCTTCAATGTTAAGCTTTGTTGATTGAGGTTGATAACGTCATTTAAACTTTAAATTTTGTGTGCAATTGACATTCATACAGTTCATTCAACATCAGCAGCCATATTGAAAGAGTTGATTACGTCATTTTGCACGTGCGCTCATTCACTCGCCAATTATGGAAAAATAATGCCGAGTAGCAAGGCAGCCAAAATTGCATAATGACCTCCTAGATCTTGCCATAATGGCCCTGAAATACCATAGATCTTGTTACTATATATAGTTACATAGGTATTAATGAGTTTTTCCATGCTGACCAAAACGTATTTG